GGGGGGGGGGGGGGGGGGGGGGGGGGGGGGGGGGGGGGGGGGGATGTAGCGTTCGGTGTGTCGGCGCTCCACCCCCGCCCGGTTCCCCCTCCCCCCGGGGGCGGGGGCGTGTCTTACTTTCCGGGTCGGGCCGCACGGTGGTGTCACCAGCGTGGCCAGTTTGACGTTTCCTCTCAGACGTCTCGGCGGGCCGGTTGTGCCGCAGGGGACTGGGTTACGCCCTGGGCCGGGCGGCAAAGTGTCCTGGCCCGGGATTACGCGGCCAGGGAGGTTCTCAGCCCCGCCCCCGCCCCCCCCCTTCCCCGCTCGCGCCCCTCTGCGGGTCGCCCCCGTGTTTGACACAAGGGCGCACGCGCGCATGCACGCCGGCGCATCGCGCGGCCCCCAACCCCGCCCCGCGGCGGGGACTCCGCCCGCGCCCCCCGGTCCGGGCCTCCGCGTTGTCGTTCCCGGCTCTCTCTCACGGGTGCTGGCCCCCTGACGGCACGGGGGGCGGGGGGCGGGGCCGGGGCCGAGGAGGGGGGGCTGCACGACAGTGTCAAGCATCTTTTTGGGGCACCTCCGGGAATGGGCCCCGACGAGCGCGCGCGCATGCTTGAACCCGGGCGTGCGTGCGCCGGGCCGTCTCTCCCACCCCCATCTGGCCGCCGACATGGGCCGTGTGGTGGCCAGGGCGTGCGAGCGTCGATCATCACCGCGGCCCGCCGTCCCCCCCCCCCCCCCCCCGATCCCATCCCAGGGCCATGGGAGATGTGCACACGCGGCCCTCATATGCCGGGGAGATGCCCCCCACGCGCTGTTCCCATGGGCCGTGCGGCGCGGCGCGCGGAGCCCCCCCCCCCCCTGCCGACTCCCGGTCTGGGCGTCCTGGCCGCGAGCGCGCGCGCGCGTGCGAGGGTGTGACAAACAAGGGGCCGGAGGGGGTGCGCGCGCGCACGCGTCTAAAAATCCATGCATGTGTGCGCATGCCTGGAGGGCGGGGGGCATGCGATGCGCATGGGCGAGCATGCCTTTGGCGGCCCCGCCGGCCGACGCAGACACCGAGGGGGGGGGGAGACCGCATCCATGCCTCTCTGATCGGCCGATTGAGCTGTGCGCGGGCCCGGCCCGGGCGGCCGGGTCTGGCGGGTTTTCCGCCGCCCTGGGAGCGCGCTGCGCGGTGTCTAGTGCCCCGCCCCCTGTGCTCCCCCCGCTCCCAGCTCGGATGATCCGCGGGCTCGGGCTCCTGGGGGCCGGGCAACGGGGGGCCGGACAGAGGCGGGGGCACGGCCCGGGGGATGGCAACAAGCGGACCGAGAGCGCCTCCAGGTCATATTTCCCCGCCGGTGGTCGGGCCCGAAAGGCGGGCGAGCGCCGGCCGGGGCGGGGGGAGGGGGGCCGAGCAGACCAGGATCACACGGCCGTTGTGGCGCGCCGGCACTCGGGGACGGCCGGCGCTTTGCCCTTCCTGGCCTGAGCGTCGCCCGGGAGGGTGCGGCCGAGACCCCCAGCCGGAGGGGTCGATCGCCGCGGTCCGCGCGTCCGATGGAGCGCCCCCGCGCGTGGGTACCGGCGCTTCGCTGTTGGCCCGTGCGGATGCTCGGGCGGCGGG